TGGGGGAATGGATTACTGAGGACTCGTGGAAGATTGCGTTGGTGGTTTGGAAAATTGTTTATATGTGGATGCAGTAGATATCTAGTGAGGGATAGAAGTGAAGAATTGGGAATTATTTAATTGTGGATTATTGGGGAAATTAGAGATGGAGAATTTTAGAGGAGGAGTTGGGGCTTGGAAAAGAGTTTTGTTAGCAAAATAATGGAAGGGAATGTGAGGCGGGGTGTGAAGAGTGTTGGAGTGCGAGAGGGTCAAATTGGTGGAAGGATTTGCGGAGGATCAATTGTTCTTTCCCTTCGAGGTAGGCCTGGTTCAGTGAGGGAATAGAGAATACTCCCTTCATCTTATTACTACTTTTTTTTTTCTTTTTTCTTTTTTTCTTTTTTTTTTTGTTTTAAAATTTATTTAAAAGAATGTTTTTGGAAGGCTTAACATATGGTTTTCTTTCCGCATATTATCAAATATGAATCAATATGGATTCTTTCTGGAGCAAATCATGATTTTTTTTTCTTAAACATGACAAAATTAAGAGAAAATATACCTTATAATGCTTTGTATTTCACTGTATATTTATTTAGATGTGGTTATTGTTGGAGATTTTAATTAAAAAAAAAAATTGCATTTGTGCAGTTACAAACCCATGCTTTCTTGGATTTGTGCGTTTCTTTCTTAAAGAATAAAATTAAATTCAAATGTTGTAACCGGCCAGCAAATGGTTCACCAATTTCAAAATCTATTTTATTCACCAACTTTTGTTCTTTGTAACTGACATGCCATTTTAAATTCCATTTTAAATTCCAACTGTTTCTTATTTTTTTTACTCCGGTTACATTGTAAAGCCTATAAATAGGCAGCCTCCAATTCTACCAAAAAGCTTGATACAATTTTTATTATCTGCACTCTTATTTCACAAACACAATATACAAACTCTCTTTAGGCAAGGAAAAGGTGATGGGATAGAGCTTTCTTTACAAGAGTGCAGTACTTGTAAAGATACAACAAGGAGGTTGGGCTGTTGTATCCTGGGGGCGGCGTGACCATAAAAATCTGCTGCACCAGTGGCACGAAACATCCTAAAGAGAGTGATTGATCCACGCCTCAGCTCAAACTCCTCATATTTTCGGTGACATCTTTCTACTTTTCATCTTCATCTTTAATTAATTGTTTTTTGCTATTCTTCTATCTATTTTTTATTTATTTATTTTTACGAGGAACAACAATTTTAGGACGTTTCGAAAGAAAAATTCTTTTAAAAAAAAATGAATTTACCTCGTGAAAAACCTGTTAAGCTTGCTAATGATCTTAACATGCCTTTTCGTTTTAACGGTGAGCATTTCAAAAAATGGAAAGGAAAAGTTTTATATTATCATATTTTGTTAAATTTGTCATATGTCCTCAATGAGGAAAATCCTATTAATTTGTCAACCGAAGGTATGAGTTCTTAGATCCTAATATGATTATTAGCACATGCTTGAATGGTAGACTATTTATTTTAATGGCATGTGAATAAAAAAAAATAGTGTTAACCCGATTACTTTCATATGTTGCTCTTGCAAATGAATATACATATTTTTATCATGACATGTTGGAGCTTAATGATATTATTGGTTTGTTTAATTTCCAACGGCTTGAAATATCATAAATGGAAATTGTTATGAATTTAATGCGTGCAGATATGTGCTCTTTTGCTGATGTCGTACTCTTTAATTTGTGAGATATTTTCAATAGTAAAAGGAGAAAAAAAAAAGAGAGTAAAAAATTACCTAGCATGTGAAACTATTATGCCATGTTGCAATCTTTAAGGAGTTGTATTTGCAGCTAATAAATTTCAACATGAATGTGATTTAACTCCAACGGTTAGTAAAATATTAAGTGCATTGGTTATGCCATTATGTGTAAAATATTTTTTATAATCATATATTTTGTTAGTTGATTATTTTTGCTCTCTAACAAATCTTTAGTGAGTGCTGTGTTGTCTTACTCATTTAGGAACCATGGAAAATGGTCTATGAAAATTTGACCAAGTGAAAAGACTAAAGAAGAGAGCTACCCCATTTCATCCATGCAACAATTTTGAAAAAAAAAATGGACTTGATATTTGGGTTGATATACTCTGAAAACGTAAGTTAAACCTTTAAGCTTACGTGACCGAGGAGCCATTTTGTGGCGATAAAATGTGAGATGAGCTGATATGCTCTTATGAAAATTTTGTGAGAAAATGAGTTTCTTCATGAACTCAATTATTTGAGAAATGTGAAAAATCACATATTTGAGATGCTCTTAATGTGGGGGATTGTAATGTCCCTATGTATTATTATTGGTGATGAGACCAATGATGCCTAATTGAGATTTTGCATAGCATTCCTATTATACAATAAGGTGTAATGGTGCTTAAGAAAGTAAATGTGATATGCACTCCTATTATACAATAAGGTATAATGGTGCTTAACAAAATAAATGTGATATGCATTCCTATTATACAATTATGGTATAATGGTGTATGATGAAAAAAAAAATAAGGCACTTAAGAAAAGGGGTATGTGATGGACATTCCTATTGTACAACAAGGTACAATGGTGTTTGAGTTAAAAATTTTTAAATACATGTTTTGACATGTATGGAAAGAAAAAGGTGGTTCACTAGCTCGATATCAAAAATTGTGGTACCATGAATTGAGAATTTGAGAAATATGAATGTGAATTGTATGATCTAGCAGACAAGTGGGTTGATGTGAAAAAAATGAGAATATGAATGAGTTAAATCTCTTCGTTACCCACTATACCACCAACTAGGCCTTTGGCAAAAACAAAAGTTGGAGGAAAATCTATGATCATAGTCCAAGGTCTAGTGCTCATCGAGGGGAATGGGATTTAAGCCCAATAATGTAGAACTTCCTATGAGGATACCCAACCCGAATTCTAAGAATTGGGTTTCAAATGGGAAAAACAAATCATAGAGAAGTCGTTGTTGAAAGATGTATCAATATTTAACGGAAAAACTTTTCGGTCCCATTCCTAAGGTGAGGATGCATCGAACCCATAACGAATTGAGAGTTGGGTTTTATACTCTTAATGAAATTTGTAACTCATAGAGTGGGGTGTCTTAGTTATGGGAGCATCCTTGACAAATTTCACCTATATGGATGTTGGAGTGGGGCCGCTCCTATGAGAATAGGGCTATTCTCTAGATCATCCATGAATACCAGGATTAGGCACAAAG